TCATATTCGAGTGTTCCGGATCCTGATGTTGGTCCGGTCGTAAAAAAACAAAAGCCTTAATCGCTTACAACATGATGGATATATTGTGCCATGATCGCATGTACATACATACCTATGACCCGTAGTAAAGTGCAATGCGTCTCATGCAATCTCATACAATGCGTCAGCAATTGTAGCACGGTGCATCTACTATTGCAAATTCTGATGAGCACTATGTGAAGGTGTTATCAAGTATTATGTCTAGTTAAATATTTTAATAGAATATTAAAAGATTTTTCTAATCTCTAATTTGTATATTGGTATAGTATATGGTTAAACATTTTGGGTGTGAATAAATATAAAAATATCAATTTTTATTTGAAAAGAATTAAAAATGAGGACCGCGATAGTAATACTTCAATTTAATTTTCTATGAGGCCGTGTTACTTGCCCATTCGAATTGTTCTACGATTTGTGCTTTGAATTAAATAAAGACATTTAGAAAGTATTTTACGTAGTTCCAAAAATATTAACTACTTTTTGAACATTCTTAGGCCATAACATTAACGTGTATCTCATATAATTTTCACCCATAAAAATTATTGCTACGTTTACGATAAATTTTCAAATGTTCTTATTCCGAATTAGTTGTTCTAAATATGTCGTCAACGTCAATTCTTAAGACATATTTAATTAAAAATCGCATCGGTAAGATTTGCATGTACAAACTAAGACATGACTTGCTTATACGTTTCTCAACAGAATTCATAAAGGATAATTCCCTATGACGGCGCGCATACTGTTGGAAAATTATTGCAGTAGCACGTAGGTGTCATTAACAGTAATTCGCTTGAGACCGTGTTACGATGAAGAATTATGGGAGTTGTTTAGACCTGACAACACACTAGCTTGTTCTTCGTGATCTTTATAACTGGGCTTTTCTTAATCAAAAATTTTAATAGGTAGGTTTGAGAAAAACTGTTCGTTTAAATCACCGATATTTATTAACTTAACAATCTCACCAATATTTATTTCAGATTAAACGAATTAGATTGCAAATAAAACTTTAGGGTGTTATTTTTTTTCTTTATCAGTGAAAAGTTGGCAAGCGATAACCGTCACACGATAATCGTCGCCCGTGAACTGTAGATACCTGACGTGTTGCAGAGACGTTGCCATTAATAAAGTAGGCCCCGGTTACCTCACTCAACACACGATACGCGAAAGTTCCAATGACGAGAATACTCCGACTTAACGCCGGTTTTCTGTGGGGCCGTGGTACTTAAGCCAGAGACTGCCCTTTACAGAAGTTGCAGCGTAGCCTTACCACAGTAAAACACGTGTGCAATCTGACATATCAGCTTATGCCTTTGTAGCGGCTTTAAGTTTACTTATACATTAAATATGAGTGAGCTAACTGGGACGCCCTCACTTAGGCAGAGAAACTGAAACCCCACTTGTATAAATGTCCGGGTAAGCCAAATGTTTTAACATTAGGTCAACCTTTCCCCGCTTTAAGATTATAATGCATTTTAATTTTAATACGGAAAACATAATTAAGGGTTTTTATGCACTAAATAAACTACATATATTTTTCTTGATTTAAATCACAATTTCTGTCATGTTTAAGTTATTTATGGTATTGACTAAATGTAATTACGACCATGGCTCGTTTTAATAATGATTTATATCCTTTTTCCTACAAAATCGCACAATGAGGCCCTCGAGAAGTCTGATGGGTGTTCCACTTGAGGGACATGAGAGAATAAATCTCGTGTGCGTAAGCGGATATTTCTGTTCTCTTATTGCGTATGTGAGCACTGGTATTAACGATTTAAGACCTTAATGTTAACAGTATACAGATTAATTTCTATTGTCAGATGTCCGTGGGTCATCCCCGTCACATGGCTTATGCCATTCGGGTGATCAGTCCGAGTAAGAAGACAATTGAATGTTTTTAATCGTGTCCCACGCGGTATAAGATATCGTGAAAGTTACCCTCACTATGCCTCGTTTATTCACTACCCATACTAAACTTCATGATTTCTCATAAAATATTATGGAGCAGTGATTTTTTTTTACAGATACACGTATTATCACTCTACCTATACGTGGCAAAGAGTTAATGTATATGAATGGAATAGTTCGATAGCTAAAACGCCTTTGGCATTAAGAATACTTTTCAACTAGAAATAAGTAATGGATTCAATTAACATCCACGCAAATGAAATCCTATACGAAAATTAGTATCGGTAACCGAAGCTTTGATTAATATCTCCTTTTAGGGCTTTTCATATAGGCTTTATACAGTGTCACCAGTGTTACTTTTTTATATTGTGCCTCGTATGAATGTACTATATAAACTAAACAGAATTAGACCAATTTAGGACATTTGGAAGATATTACTTACTCCGGACATATCTCAATACCTATTAATTACCATTAAAGGTTAATACAGCGATTTACATATGTTATCATCCACATAGGTACATCCATGTTCATTAATCCAATTACCTTATGATGTTTATTAAGTGTGTGAAATGTAATAAAAAAATAATGAAACTGAAAACAATTAAACTAAATGTGATAAAAATAATCATCGGGTAACAAAAGAAAAAGAAATAAAGACACGACGAAATATTTAATCTTTTCCCTTTCATACATTCTTTTCTAAATTCGTCATAAAACTGTCGAGAGCACATTCAATTTTAATTATACATTATACTTAACAAAACCTCACAATTTTCTGGCGTGTAATTAACTACATTAATTTATCTGTACAATAATAATTACGAGACCTTTAATTATTACAATTAGATAGTTTAGGTAAGTATGGTTTCTAAATAGTCAACTACTAAAATATGTATACAAAATCTGAAAGAAGCGAATTATCCTGAACGTCTGAAAAGCGATCCTTCCGCTGCATTTATGAATGCATCCAATAAGTACTTTGCCAATTATTTTTAAGTTACCTTGAAATATTAATTGAATTTAAATTTGCTTGAAACTTTATTACGCATGATTATTATTCGAAACTCTACCTATATTTCATTTCAATTAAAACCATTGTTTACAAAGAAAATCTCTGTAGTGAAAATTTTAATTGTAACTCTAGATAATGGTATAGTGTGTGCATAAATGCATCTATGTTTTTTACTGCCTGGAAACAATATTGTTGATTTGTTTGATCTTATATATGAAGTCAACATGTTATGGTAAAATTTGATTTGATAAATTATTTAAAAGACGCTTTTCAGACGTTTGCTTCGCGATGACTATTTAAATTGAAATTTTAGAAATATTTTGTAGACATAACTGTAGACATATTTTAAACAACCGCTTAAGACCTTAACGCATCGTACAATTTATATACAGTAGTTATCGAATATCCATAATATTGTTAACGTTAAAACAAGACCACATCTACGATGTAATTTAGATTTATAGTCACTTTGAAATGCGGCAACTTGCAACTTGCAATTCCTATTGCGTTCACTGTCCTGGTTCATGTTGTTAAATGCTTATGATGAATCTTAATGATAATTATTATTTTCAAAAGCCATTTTTCTGAATATGGAAATACTTAATCATATGAACAAGCCACCGTTGACCCACTGGGTGTGCTTGTTTCGGGCAGTTAGTTAAAGGTAAAATCGACCGTTCAAACGTCACCTAATAGATGTCTTGCGCTTAGTTAGAAATTCGGTCGCCTAGACGAGGTCGCCATTTTGTACAAAACATCTAATCCAACTAGAACATTACGGGACAATACAGATTCAATGAAAAACATCCGAGTAAACTACTAAGTCCATAATAAGACATTTAATACACAGATACACGATAAAGTGGGGAAGATGTGGGAAGCTAAATAGTACGAGTGATAATCTAAGCGAGACGGACATACCTTCCGTCCCTTTTTACATTTCGTCTACACGAGAAAATATCAAACAATCTGTACACAGTACGCCTAAAATTCGATGTATTAAGAAAGAGATAAAAATTGGAAGAAGTAATTGCCATAAACTGTCATTATATTCGTGTATAAATAAATAATAAAATATTCAACTAAAACAAAAAAAATATATAAAAAGCAATAGACAGGCTTAAGCGAACAGTACAATGAGTCAATAGAGGACAATATTAATGCACTTGCCCATTATACCTAATTAAATTGATTATAACATCAACTTCAATATTTTCAAAAAAAATAGTCATAACAGTAACTTAATGTATATCTACTGGAACCGAGTTAAAGCTTTGTCAGAAATCCATAATTTAAATAACAAAATTCACGAATTACAAGATAAGATATTAAACAGTAATAAATATTTGATCATAATGGGATTCAATAGTTGCCATTTAAAAGGGAACACGACGCGTCGACGGTACGTTGATGGCAACACTGACATTCTTTTGTCTCCGCGTACGGCCTGCGAAAACATCTATATGTAACTGCCACCAAAGCGACCCGGGTAATTCAACAAATTTGGTAACAAAAAGAAAAGTTAACCGACTAAACACTAAACCACCGTTACAACAGCGTACAAGTAACACGAAGCTGTCCCGTGTAATATATTACAAGTAATCAATTCTCAATGAACTACCTACGAGCTAAACACCGTCGCACCGGTGACATCTTTAACTTTACAATTAATTCGTTACTTAAATAGTTTTATTCCTCACCAAAATACATAATCAGCGTTACATTATAACTAGACATTAATAATATCAGGAATCGTTATGCTCGCGCACTAAGTCCCGTACGATTGTGAGACATATTATGTTTCGTAGTTAACACTATACACAAGTCGACGGCGCTACGTTGACGCATTGTCCTGTTTCTCTGGGACTCGGGCTTATGAGAGAATCGGCACACCGACTTGACTCCATTGCATCAGATCCGAAGCGCGTTGCTCGCTGCAACGGTAAGTATGGCGACGCAACACTGTCACTGTCCCTTGTCGCGTTTAGCTGGTGATGCCGTGGTGGAGTGGGTAAGCCCCAGAGAAGGGCGCGGGTCACTGGTGGTGTTTTGACGGCGGCGCGTGGTGCAGCGCCACGTGGTGGGGCGCGTGGTGGTGGCCGCCGTGGTGGTTGTGGTTGTTCGCGTTCGAGTTGTTGTTGTTGTTCTGCGCCGCCTGCGCCGCCTGCCGCTGCGAGTTCTTCTTGTTCTTCATCCGCCTGTTCTGGAACCATATCTTCACCTGCCTCTCGGTGAGGTTGAGGTTCCTCGCGAGCTCCCACCGCTTCTGCTTCGACACGTAAGCGTTGAACAGAAACTCCTTCTCCAGCTCGAGGGTCTGGAACTTGGAGTAGGGCTTGCGTTTCTTGCGCACGGTCACCTGCCCGGTCCAGTCCAAGGGGTTCGAGGAGCCGCAGCCTACTCCGACCCCCACCGACATCGACAGGGAACCTGACCGAACATAGATAAACATTAATCTATTGAATTATTTTCAAATCATAATCATATACGTTTCAATAAAAATACTTAACGTAACCTGTCCGAGTCTACAAAGCAACGAAATATTGCGATAGCAATAGATATAAATTACGAGAGTCATTAAAGTAGTATGACTTGTAAAATGTCTGGCTACTAATTCGAAATTTCAATAACACTTGTCTCTTTAACAGATATCGAACAGTGCTTAGATAGATAGAAAATTCGCATATTAAATGCCGTTAATTATTCCTTTTGCAGCCGATGGACAACAATGGAGTAGTGCCGGGCGGTAAGCATTAATTGGAATAACCTTGAAACCCGAATAGCTGCAAACGTAGCATAACGCGGCATAAGCCGGCGATTTCTATGCGAGTCTACCGGAGGACAATCGCGGGTCGAGGTGTTAGAAGTGGCATAGCGCGGTTTATGTGAGCGGCCCCTTTGATGAGATCATCGCCGGACTTTGTATGCGGAGTCGGGCCAAGTGATATTGGATGCAGCCCGCGCGCTGCACCATTTCCTATCATTGCAAACGGCACGGCGAAGGACCGTTTGCGAAACAGATGCCGCATTGTCTGCTTGTTGGCTCGGACTGTCTTACGACTGACTGGCTCAAAGTCTCAGTTTCCAAACTCTGCCGCATTTCTGCATAACTAAGTTACATTGTTAAGTAACACCGAGTTAAATAAGCGGTTTTGTACTATTTTGGTTTTTGTACTATTAATATTGTACGTTAAATGAGTATCGGATGACATGATGTCTGTGAACGTGAACCTAACGGGGTTAAGAATCTTTTTGAAAATGAAACGCCTCAATCTAAAATGTTCTTGAGGTTTCGACGTCGAGCACCGTTTAATTCCGAAATTATCTGATGACATATTTATTTCTCTGGTAATTTACTTTCATATTATAATCTGAGCTGTAACTTTAAAGGAAGATTTCTTCTAATCCCATTGTTATGTAGACATTATTTTACTCTTTAGAGACAAGATTACGAAATTGTGGGCACTATTAAACTGTTCGCTTCGAGTGTCATTCGTGACCATTAGAGTGGTGTTTAAGCGGGCGTTGGATATAAAACTGCCCTACCTCAACCGCCAGCCTTTGCCTCGCAGTTTATAATTTATAACGCACCGCACAAATCAAATCATTCCTTACTCCATTACTTACGTATTTAGAAGTTATTGTAAGCTTGTTATAATTCATATAGACTTACGTATCACCAAGTTGTTATCATTGTGTACCGAAAATTGACAATTTCTGGTGAAGATTTATCGCAAACGAGCTACGTATCGGAGCCAAGGCTCGTCGATTTATCTCACGACCAAGTAATGATTTTATATTTCGAAGCATTGGCAAAATAAATTAACTACTTTATGCCTCTCAAATATACGAAACGGTTAAATATTGTAATTTATTTTTAAAATGAACTAGTGTAATAACTATAATTAATTATTAAAATATGCTCAGTAGTGTTAACCGGTTTGCTTGCGAAATCTTAGAAATATTGTAACAAGAATTAAAGTTGCATTTTGCAGTATATGAATATTGTTTCAAAAGCCAAGTGCTTGCTACACAACAAATAAACTGCAGATTACAATGATTTACAATTGCCATTGAGATTAGATATTATATCGTTTCCATTACAAGAAACAAATTTAAAGCGAGAAACCATAAAGTTTTCAATATTTCTCGAAGATTAAATATTCGCAGTTGTATCGAAACTTCGTAACATTTTTCCTATGAATTCACTCCATCACATTGATTCTCAAAAATTTTAGTCGGTTAACCAGACAAAATATTTAACTGCCCCGTTCGTATTAACATACTCTTTTTTGCTTTATTTACCTTTGTCAATCTATTTGTAACCAACTAAATCGCTGCCTTAGAAACTTCACTTCAAAAACAATCACGATGCTGTGTCGTGAGAATTTCGAGAATTGCTGAGATTCCCGAATGGGGGTGAGCGTTTTACGCGCAGCTGGTTGTTGTATGAGTTTGCGGAAACGTTGTCTCAAACTTTGTCGAACAAATATTACTTGCGAGTTGGAACGAGCTACATTCCCGCCCAGAACTCGAAGTTATTGAGGCCCGCGCGTCCTTCGACTCGACACGAGTCTGTCCAATTACTTTCTTTCCGACTTAAAATATTTCGAATGATCTAAAGTCCACGCTATGAGTGGAACTACCAAATTAGAAATGTATCGCGACCGCCAAAAACCCACAAAAAGCACACGATTTAATTACTTAATTTTCTATATATTTTATAAAGCAAGGATTTAAATAGTTTTAATAGATAATATTATTTTTTATTTTTATTTATACTTTATTGCAATTACCTTAAACAAGGATTACAAAGGGCGAACTTAATGCCTTTAAGCATTCTCTCCCAGTCAACCCGGGGCGTGGAGATAAATTATGGTAGGTGCAATAAAAAGAAGAAAAAAAAAACAAGTACATTACTAATGTGAATGAAATATACAATGTATGGAATATACACACGCTTAAATAAATATAAATACTTACATACATATACAAAATAAATATATATATATACAAATATACAATACATATTATATATAAAAATACTAACATATATACATAAATACAAACATATAAACGATATTGAAATAATGATGAAATTTAACATTCAGATGTTAAGTAAAATTCGCGGACTTTGGGAATTTTTTTTGGAAATTATCTGATCTTATAAAAAAATACATTCATCAAAAGCAATCGTAAACAATCGTAAAAATTACGTCAACGTCAAGTTTACTCTCAAGATCGAAAAGGGAGCAAGAAAGAAACCTCATAATTTTGTTTTTGTTTAAAAATTGCCGCGAAAATCGTAAAGTCCGTAAAGACAAGCGAAGATGTCAATTATAAGAAGAGGTAGCGATCAGTGGCAGTAAAAGTGCGGTTGTCTTTGCCCATAAAAACGTACGCGTTTGCTCCAGTCAACTAGGAAATGTTGTTCTGCCGATCATCAACGGCCCGTCTCGTCTTTATCCCTTCGGAATACAGTTGATAATCCGGTGTACATCAGTTTGACAACAGCAAATGCATAAATGTAACACGTTTCTCGTATCGAATCATCTGTTGCGTAATTTGATTTCTGCTATTATAACAACTCATTTTAATATCGCTCGCTCTATCTGATTGAAAAGGCGATATTATTACAAGGCGTTGTAATTTAATTCGGACACGAGTAAAGGTGTTGCGAGCAGCAGCGGATATAATCTTAGTATAACAGTAGTTAACGAGTGCTAAAAACGCCTAATCTCTTTAGGTGTTCGCTATAAACGCCAAAATCAAAGTCAATGTCGACCCGCTCCGGCTGGTCGAGGCAATAACTGGGCCGCCGGCCGCCTCGCGACTTTTTCAACAATTGTTTCGCCGTTAATGGGCCATTACACGCGTTATGGTTCACGCGGAGTCGTTTCAAGTCACACCTCCGTTGCGGGGCGGTTTATCTTTACGGTCAAGCAGCGATCGAGTACTACCGGCGCGGGATCTAGAATGGACCTTTTATTGCTCTCATATTGACGCGACGCCCGTAGTTTCGTAATTACAACCCGCCAGCGATTTCGGTAGGAACCAGTATTATTGCACGTGTGACGTCGCGGCGTTTTTACGATATCATAAAAGTGATATACATCTACAAGAGGATCGTATGCACCGACCTAGCCCCCGGCTCTCGCCACGGTTTTTTATCGTCCCAGGCCTATAATGTGTTTATTGTGGCAATATTTGCTTTATTGCCACTACTGAGATCCGTTTATTGTTTCGACGCTCAGGTATCGTGTTTATTTATTAGTTATACATTTTTATTGGCGCTTTATTTTACGTAAACTCTTTAATTTATCGTCGGTCGTGTTGCGCCGTTTTACATTGACTATAAAACTGGCGCTTACGGTTCGGCTTTTTAAACAGCCGCGGCACGTGTTCCGTTCATTCATCGGATTTATGGTGGTCTGTGGGAAAATGTTATGATTGGACCGTTGTGCCGCGTCTAAGGGAAGCTTTGGAGATTACGCGCGAAGGACCAGCTTTGTTTACGTTCGTCGGACCAACATAGCGTTATTGAATCTTCCGTACTAATGTAGAGGTGATATATATTCCTTGCCATTCAGCCGAGTTTCCTACTGGAATTTTTTTCATTTAAACTACACATAACTTTAAGGCGACAATCAGAGCTTTACACGTTACGGACGATACGAATATATCGAATTTGATTAGCATGATGAGTACATTCGTAATCCAATTTTCTGTATACACCCACGGCCGACTTAATAACGAGCATTGGACTGGTCGAATAAGTGACTAGACGGGTTTTTTTCTCTCCGTGAAATGGATTCTTCGGACGTCGATGCATCGTGTTACTGATAATGGCACCCTCACTGGCGCAGATCACCGTGAGGGCAGACGTCGCGGTGTGCGTCACGCACACATACGTCCGCCGTGGGCCTGTGTGCGCCGTGCTAACGCCATCTAGCGGCTGATGGCCAACAACTGTAATGGGTCAAGGTTGATAAACCCATTGCAAAAACTTCTACGAAAACTTAAAGAAACAACCCCAAAAATAACACACACACACACATACACATAGAAAATTTAAAAATACTAAAACCGTCTCGCGGTCTCAAAGTTAACTCCCTCAAACTCGAACGTTCAGTGAACTGGCGTAGCTGTTGTTTACAAATTTTAGAAACTGTTTTGCTGCACACGTTGGTGTGGCGATAAGTGGAAAGAATACAAACAGCAGTGTCGCGACCGGACGTTACGAACGTGAGGGCGTGAGGATTTGAAGCGAGCTTTGAATTTTAAAAAATCATGCAAAAGTTAATACTGACCGGGCAGAGCGCTGGGAGGCGGGTAAGGCGCGCTGGAGACGCTGTCGGGCGCGTAGTTGCGGAGGCCGTACGCATCGTGCGAGAAGCCGGACGCCTCGGAGACGGCGGCGCGGCGCTCCTCGGCGCCCACGTAGGGCAGCGGCTGGTCGCCGCGCGGCGCCCCGTACGGGTAGTTCCAGCAGGGCTGTGAGAAGCCCTGGTGGCAGCCGCCATCCGCGTACGGCTTGTACTCGCCGCCGCCCGCCGGCCAGAAGGGCAGCGCGGACTTGCGCTCGCGCTCCACCGGCAGGTTGTAGTACGTGGGCGCGGCGGGGTACTGGTGCTCGAAGGTGGCCGGAGCGTCGGGCGGGTAGCCCCAGGGCTGCTGCGCGTGCCGGATGACGCCCGGCTCGGGGTCGTAGCGCTTGGCCGGGATGTGCAGCGGCTGCGGCGGGTTGGAGGCAACCGAGGCGGGAGAGGCGCTGGAGGCGGAGGGCGGCGCGGCGGCGGCGGGCGCGGCGGGCGGGGAGCCCCCCGGGGGCGACGCGTGCGCCTCCTCGTAGAGCGCGCCGCCGACGCCGTTCATCATGCTCCACCAGGCCGGCCCGGCGGAGTGGCCGGAGGCGGGCGCTGGCGACGCGGCCGCCGCGTCGCAGGGCGCGCCGAGGCCCCCGACATGGTTGTCAGGGTACAGGGTGGCGGCCGGGCAAGCCACGGGGGAGCGGGACGGTCGCCGGCCGGTTCACGCGCGCCGCGGGCACATCGCACCGCGCGCACACGCGTCCCGCACGCGGCAGCAGCGGCACATGAAAGTCAAAACGCGAGCACCGATTTAGCCGGCGCTCGGGACGCGGTCGCGGCGGGGCCCGCTCGTGCTGCTGCCGGCGCGGCTTCCACCTCGGGGGAGTTCGGATAGAGTCACTGGTTGTAGTGGCGCGAATTGGTATTATTTAGTTGTACGGTTGAGCAAGCGACGAGTATTGTACGGTGAGCAAAGGTCGTTGCTGTCGAAGAACAGTTCGCGCGGATGAAGTCGCGACGATGCGAAGTGTCGGGAGCGAGATTCGCGGAGACGATGCGTTGATGGCACAAGACGCGCGGTCGGCGGCGCGGTCGAGCGCGGAGTGGCGGCGCGCGGCGAGGCGCGGCGGCTCGGAGGAGCGCGACACGGCGCCATCTAGCGGCGGGAGGCCGCGCCCCGCCCCGCCGCCCGCCGCGCCGCGCGCCTCGCTCGCCCACCGACCGAGAAGCGGCCGCACTTTACAGGACTCGACAAAAACACCTAATATAACGCTTTCTTCGGAGCCGAGCTTCGCGCTTGTATCTCTACGACTCTACAACTCTATTTTTTCTACCAACACTGTCGGTTAAGTTTTTATTATTTTCGAAACTAAATTAAAATTCATATTAACTTTTAGATATGAAATTATGAAAAACAAAACAAAAAAAATACTGCATGAAAGAAATATATTACTGCTCGTAATAATAAAAACGTACACAACTAATTTGTATAAACGACGACTCTCTCCACGGGCTAAAGGGTTGTATCCTCGTAGCGGCGGAGGCGCGGGTGCGTAGTAAAGCGATTAATGGAGGCAAAATAGCCATAAACTGCCGTTTAACCAAACTGCAAGCGTCACTCGACCATCGCCGAGTTGCCACCAATAAAAAACGCGAGACTTTATGACGGCAACTCACTCACGTTTTATTGTGAGTATAAACTTAATTTTATCGTCTGTTAATTTCACCACAAATAATCCTAGGTTGTACGCAGATTATATCATTTTATGTCAATGGCAAGGTCGTGGACTACTGACATGTATTTCACGGAGATGTTTCAGATGATAAAAATTCCACCATTATTTCCATAAACAGCACAACTGCATTGGGACATGACAAAGGCCCTGCACTTTGATATTACTAACAGTGTCGTGACGCCTCCCTCCGTACGCAGTGCGAGTCAAAGGGAACAATGGGACGTACAGACGATAAATCCACTTACAATATTTCACACCTATACAACGGCATGTTCTGTTTACTTAAGACACGGCCATAAAACGCGCGGGGACGACAAAAGGAGATGCAAAAAAACACGCACATAACCCGCTAAGTAACACTAACGTTCGTGTTAACAAGGTGCCCGAGGGCATTACAAAGGGCATTATGTTAATTGATACAGGATTGTCGAACTGAAACGCGCGATCGACGCGTCCCGCAAAACGCCAATTTCCCACCCTTAAATGCGCGTAATTATTGACAATGGCGGAGCGGGTTCCGTGAGCGATAAATTTGCGAACTTTCGACGTGTCAACGAGATTAATAATGCGGATTAGTGAGTGTGAAACGGCTGTTAAGAAGTTATCGGGCCGAATTAACAAGGTGTTCAATAAATATGTAGTTTACTACTCAAACCGCTCGTTTGTGTACATAGGCGTCGTAAATTTGACATGTCTTGTTGTGTACAATAATGGTTATACATTTAAGGGTAGAAATCCTTCGTAGGATGCGAACATTACACGTTTTAACACTAAATTGGTTGAATTTAGAAGAACTCTTTACGTATCAACATACACACTGAATGATTAAAAACATTATATTTAACATTTACAAAAGACGTGCCATACCTTAGTTCTGTTTTGAACTTTTGACCTATCAATTTCCGGACGCATTTGATCCAATCTATAAACTATCTGCAGAGACATTTGAATCATTCATTCATTCGAAAAGAGAACGTTGTACTGCGTTTTTTTATACGTGAATTCAAAATGGCGGGGCCAATGCACGCCACATAGCCCAAATAACACAGAGGCGGCGCGGGTGTTGAATGACACAAGCAAACATAGGAACAAGTGTGCGCCTGAGCCGGGCGCGTCTATAAATATTTACGTTAGGAAACTCTCCAAGCCAATGGTCGGCCATGCGGCGCGCGTAAATAAAAGTTGGCCTTTCTTATCTCCTGCATGTGCGCGTTACGCAACCAATGCTCACGTATTATTATTCGTGTATATTTATACATCGAATGAGTGATATTCGCAGAGAACGTAAAACACTTCGATGATGCTGCTACCACCACGAGCTCGTTTAAAGAAACATCGCGAATAAAAATGCTTGTCCTAGAAATCATGGGAAAATATCTGTGGGACTTGCTCGCAAATATGAGGCCTAGTAGTATATCTAAATGCCATCCGTGCAATTGTCCAACAACTGCTCATTGTTAAATCGTTCAGGATTTTATTATAAATATTTTAGGTGCCACGCAGAGCATATAATCTTCCTCTGGTGCTTTGTTAGTGTTATATATGGGATGTTAGTCTACTTAACTGTATAGTGTTGAAAAGAGACAGTAAATAATAAGGCGTCTTAGTTAAAGAATAAGTACTCCCCCCGAAGAATATAAATAAGTGTATAATTAATAAATTATCAACACTAAATATTCATCTACCGCATCATATTTAAGGATCTTCAGGTATATGTACCTATTGCAACAAATCTAAATCCTCACAAAGGTTTTATTGGAATTCCAAATTTAAAATAAAAACATTCCTTTTCGGTAGATTATCATTGGTATTAGGTAGATGATTGGTATCTACCTACACTATAACCGATATAAAGGTGAGCTCTACCTCTGAACTATAACAGTTACATCAGGACACAACAGACAAAAATATTGTATCCTTAAAATTAAAATCTATCTAACAATTAATATAGTTATGATTTATCTAACGATCCTAAACGATTCTAAACGATTATATAACGGTCCTAAACGATTTAACGCCCTAAAAGAGCCCTTAACGCCTTTTCTCTCTGTCACGACATGCATTCACTCGCTTATAGATTGCATATAACTGACTGAATAAGTAAAACTATGAAGAGAACTAAGTATCATGTACTGCATTTTTATATCATCAGATAACCAAAGAAGAATTTTACGAGTTTTAATGGAACGTAAAAGAGACGGAAATCATTCTCCTTGAACTGATCGCTCGTATTTGCATCGCAATGTCCGACGACGAGAAATTAAAAAAAGGGAAAGTATATACTTTAACATCTGCGTTTTTAACAGCCTTTACCAATTAAATATAATTCTTAAATAAATATAACATTGTCAATATTAACGTTGATGACACAGCTATTAAATATGAGAATTGCCGAAGTAATACTCGAGTTATAGAGCGTCATCTTCATATTAATACAGGATAATGGTAATTAACACAAATGCAATTATATTCACCTTGTCGTAAACTCGCTAGCGACGTCTGCGTAAACGGGCACGGTAACCTGCAAACAAATTTTACGTTTCACAACATTTTACGTAAACATGTTACTCGTTCGACGGGAATGTCGTGACAGGCCCATCGCGAGGTACCACGGGACAGTGGTATTTATTCCCGCAATCAACTGCCACATCCGTGTCAGAATATAATTTATGGGCGTTGTTTATATCTTCATTCAAAAATTTACGAAGCATTACATAATTCGCAATTAAGAGTGATGCGTATCGGGACACGAGATCAATGTTTCCAAGTTTTATTGTTGCGATACGATCATACTTAATTATTAACTAAATGCACACAAAGATAACTTTTATATTATAATTAACAACATTTTTACTCGATCTTTAATGGATTACCTAGATGAGATCTTATAGAGAACTATCACATGTTTACGAGTCTAGCTAGTTTATGTTTAAATGTACTTTAGACGTACTCAGTTCAAGCTTCGGTCGATTTATTTTAGAAGACCGCTGCAGTCTTCCGATTGACAAAAGTTGCTCTGTTCATGCCGCGACAACATTTCGTTTGTGGTGTATATAAATAAATCCCTTCTAAGTCATTCGATACGGCCGGTAGTCACGAAGTTTACATAAAACAGGGTGATTTGCGCCGAATGCCACGGGGTTTTTTCCCGTGCCTTCCTTCGGGGGTGTGGAACGCACCGTCCCACTTATAAGAACGCGAAAAAAACATGTTTACAGGCATTTTTTTTTTTTTTTTTTTTTTTTCACTTAACGAGCGACCTGACTCTCGACGTGTCGGCGCTCGTAAACTCCGCTCTGCTTTATGTAACAATCAAGGTAATGATTGATTGTAACGAACGCGGCTTTAAGCTGTCTTACTTAATACATTACTTATATGGGGGCCCGTTAGCCTTACTCCGAGCTAAGTTTGGTTAAAGTTATAACTTTAAATTATTTATAGCCTATGCAGTATTATTTAAGTAGGCTTATGTAAGCCTATATAACTTCAATGGGGAAAGTAGTAATATTTTTATTAATAACTTTTATTCGTTTATTATATTGCATTGATTGATGGAGTTTTTAGAAGTATATAACTATGACATGTAAATGATCAAGCGTGCATATGTATTCATAATAAAATTTAAGTAAGTATATTAAAACATAAGCGTGTAGATATATAATACTGCAACTGAAAAAAGATGTCTTTTTTTAATTTGTTTCGCTCTTCCTTTTACAGTGAGAGGTTTAGAGCTATTAAGTTACCCATGAATGGAGTTTCAGGCATATCGCAATAGCAAAGCGAGTTCGGAGTTGTTCAACTTGCGTCGTATCGGAACGGAACTTTGCCGATGGTAATTTAAGTTTATATCCATTCCGACTCGGAGCCGCTATCGGGAATCGTAATACGGGCGCTGTGTCGGCTTTTTCCCTCTGTTTCTTTTTAGGCTTTTTTAGTTCTGTGCGAGTAAATAGCGCGGCTGAGCGACGGCACTCGACGTTTACGACTCAATCTCAAAGCGCAGGCCGCTGCCTAGCGATCGGGTGCCTACCGATCACCATTTTAATGCGACCTACCCCTGCGCGTGTAATCTCGGCCTTTAGGGAGTTTGTGAGGCGGGGACGGCTCGCGAGGAGATCATCTATCGCTGGTGGGAGAAGCATTTCAATAGCCGGTGACAGGACGAGTTTGGACGCCCGTTCTAATCTGTCAGGTCGCGTTATCTTTGCCACAAGTACGTGTTTAGTGGACCGTTTCTCCCACGGGCGGATGGTTCGGTCCATCCATACAGAAAACATTCTCATGTCGTATATATTTATGTCTACCGATATAAGCGCAGCAAAATAATCGTGTACGTGATAATTTTTAATCATATTGCGATAAATTGAAATTCTGTTTTGACGGGAGCTGCACGTTTTCGTTATACGTGTTTTGTTTGTGAAAAGAATTTGGCTTATGGTAAATCTAATGTTAAAATCCATTTTATGGTCATTGTTATTATATATCAAGACACACTAAGATATCATATTTATTTAGGTATTTATGTACTTATTTATTTATTTATTTTTATAATAAAGTATGTATTTTTATCTGATTTGCCGCCCATTGTACAACTCTTACATAATTGTTATTTTAATATATTCTTTTTTACCATGGTGTATGCAATAAAGAATATTCATTCATTCATTCATTCATTCACCAAGAGTAACTCGTAATGCATGACGATATACGACAATCGTAATAGACGCGTCGATCCGGTTGGTCCATTGTTGTTTTATTTCAACAGAACACATATATTTATGGCCGCTCAACAAGATGGCTCGGATCGATCTGTTTACGCGGCATAAAGACATATTTACAGTAATCGCGATGGGGAGTGGGAGTGAGTCCAGGGTTTAATGGCGCGAAAACTGACTGGATCATATCCCTGGGTTTACGACGCGAGAGAAAACGGCCGATTCATTTGCAATTCTAACTGCGATATAGCGACCCGGCCGCGATTGTCCGCCGTACAGCAAACGCGGACGTATAAGATGCCGTTAATGTCACACCGATTATTGTCATGCCTTCTTACTGCTAATGCTCTTTCACTGATTCTGATTTTGAACCCAGGCAGCCATATTAAACACTAGTTTGTTCTAACGGCTACTCACGTTAAAATTAACTGGGCTTGGGTTTACAACAATATAAATTGTTGACCAGTATAGTAGGTACAGAAGTACAGGAATAATGATAGATGATGTGTGTGATGTAGAACGAAAAACAACCGTTTTATTTAATATTAAACATCTACGACACGTACGACTCAATAGTAAATATCACCTAGTTACTGCCCATTTACGTTTGTTACGTATCTGTATTCCAATAAATAAGAATATTTGAATATCAATGTTGTTATAAACTATGTCTCCCATGTACAAATCGAACTGAACACGAAAAAAGGAGAGTGAATCAATTTAGAGAGAACATTCACGGAGTTGACGTGCACAAACATAACGCGCCCACACAACTACGTAACGTACGCTATTCTCGTCCATATCTCAAAAGGAGTAAAGTTCAAAATCACGCATCAATCACGGCAACGGAGCGCTACGCGGCTGTTATTAGAGCTCCCATACCCCACTAGGGAGGTGCTTTAGTCCACGCGCTCTGTTCACACATTCGGCCATCGATCGGCCGGTGGTCCTAATCACTTAGTATTCGACCCGCTCCCACCGTTCCGATGTTATCGTCAAGGACGCCAATTGTGATTCGACGTTTGGCCCGGAATCGATCGATCCGCCGATACAAGGGTCGATCGATGAATTTGAATGTCTAACGCGCTCGCGGTCCGTGTCGCGTCTTGGCCACATGCGACCAAGAAATTTCCACCGGGAAACGGCACTATAAAAGGCAGCTTAAGATGTGGCCGCATAAATTTATTGCGTATTCCTATATACCAGAAATCGCAAAGGCGTGTATAGAGCTTATATTTTACAGACTAACGCACCTTGTGCAATACTCTGATAGCACTGGCAGGCAAATCTCGATATTAAAAACACTTTACTTTTTTAAATTTAAATTTACAAGTGGCCTACGTTTTGTATTTCATAGCTGCCAACTTCGTCAAGTGTAAAAAGGGAATTAGAAATATTTATAAATAACGGATTGTACAAAGCAAGTTTGAACTCTATTACACATCGACTATAAGGATCCAATAATGTTGATAAGTGTATTATTCTATTATAATTATTCCAGCCAAATAAAAAGTACTCCGAATGACCCCATCCCTGAGAAATTCCATCCATCCATATAAGACATACATAAAAAAAAAACACAATTATTTCTACTTTAAACAATGTTATAATAAAGATTGATAAAACTACATTGCTAACGTATAGAAATGTCGAACCTCTACATTGGATTTTTTTTAATCGTCTTCAAGTTATAAACGACAATTACTTTAATTTAAGTACTCATGTCCACGTACCATACGTAACTACTTATCCATAACTAAGCACATTGATATGTTTCAAACACGTGGCAACATATCATTACCACAAGATCTGAACGCAACGGAGCCAACGGAGACGGAGCCCAATTTCTAAACCATCAAACACATCTGGAACCCTCGAGTGTAGCAGATGTCCATGGGCAGCGGTATTCACTTAACATCAGGTGAACTGTCTAGTCGTTTGGCAATTTTTCACATAAAAAAAAAACAACGGAATGAAAGCGCCAACATCCAATAACAACAAAGGACGACGAATAAGATTTTTCAGCGTATAAATCAAGTCACTCTGCAGCTATGTTAAGCACGCTTTCACTTCAAGTTAAAGCTCAAAGGATAGAAAAAGGCATAGAAATCGTAGAAGCCGAGCAGGAGTAAGCTGCGTAAAAAAGCACTGAAAACGTCTCTAGGACTTAGAGCACAATTGATGCAGAATTTCGATTTAAAGCAGAATCTTTCTTTCAATACAACAGCATTGATGTTCTATTCGATACTTAATAAATTTCAAAAAAGTGCTTCGAAATATTATTTAAGCGTTACCTAAAACGTTTTTATAAAAACAAATAAATTTGTCATGTCTCAGCTGTTTTTTATTTCAAAGATTATGTTGTATATCTCAGTATTATCCCTCTATGTCTGCAAGCAGATTAAAATGTAAACGTGGCTTTAATTGCAACACTGTTGCCTGTTTTTTTTATTTTGAAACATACCTAAACATTATAATTCCAAAGCAGATAAATTAAAGAATTGAACATTGACATATGAAAATAAAAAGGATAAACCTAAAGGATTTGATTCTAAAACTTTGTCGTTTTGAAACTTTTTGTTATCTTAGAGACGGACTTGATTACACATAAATTTGGTTTTCATTCCAATCAACACAAAACTTTTATTATTTTATCATATATATTAATAATTCTACTTAATTAAACTCTTCAATTTATTCCCAATTCTTGTACGCAAAGCTAATATATGGGTATCATTAATTTGTCTTAAACATATTTTGTGATATCTTATATTCGTATAGTAAAAGGGAGAATGCGTGGTTACTCTCATAATTGACTTGTGACCAAGACAAAAACATATTTTTTTTTTCAATCATTGTTTAGGCGAATTTCATTTATTCATTGGACAAAGTCAGCGCCAAAGTTGTAACGCAAGAATAAAAGACACTCGTCTACTTCTCAAACCACATTAGAGTTGCTTATTTAAAGAGGTTTTATATAAAGAAAACCAGGTCCTCTTAAAGTAACACATTATGACTCCGTTTTGCAAATGCCGCATGGACTAAACGCATAATCGCTACCTGTTCCTAACTTTGCACCGCATTACGTGTACATACATTCGTGGGAGCGTCGCGCTCTTAGGAACCGCTCGAAAAGAATTCGCCAGTTGTATAAAAAGAGTTTATTTTTAGCTTTACGTCCGACCGTGTAAGACACGAATTGTGGCCGCAAGCCGTTCCGTTTTTCTTCGAATTTTCGAACACGCATAAATAAGTACTCATATACCAGCGACTTATATAAGAAAGCGAGTGTGTCTATTTCTACAGTTTACAACAAATTGATTACTAACCCTAGATAGTAAACTTTATAGGAGCGAGAGCACACTGTAACGTTATATGCTCATAATTACGTATTTGAGCTTGTTATCTCTTAGTTAATCCGCGGATTTAATGAAGGTCGTAAAATAAAATTACAAAATCTATAAAGGGCTTATTAAAAAAGACGTCCGTACATAATTACATCTAATCAATTGGCGAAAGCCTTAAATGAAGCAGGTGTTGAGGCATGCGGGGCAAAATGGGCTTTAGTGCGTTAATAATAAAGATCAAAGTTCAAACCTTAGTATCATGTTCTGTGTGGCGTCGCCGCCTCACCTGTTAGTAAGGTCGACCGCGTGGAAGCCGCGCCCGAACCTTACCCGCAACACGCCTGTAAAAAGAAAACAACAGTCGAATCAACAAACATTCATCCATTTGAACTAAATACATCTATATTTATGAATATTAATTTCACTGATTATGTTTATGCTTTTTTTTTATTTGTTTCGGATCGGAAACAGAACATTACACTTGAACATTTTCTATAGAAATAAGTTTAAAAAAATATTACATAAGTGAATATTTCACTATAGGCGAACACATCGTGTAGGTACACATGAATAATGTTCTCAACATATACAAGTATTCAAATTTTGTGAAATTTGTATTTCTTTCTTATATCTATCCATATATAAGAGGCATGGTTATTGGAGGCATGGCTTAATAATGATGATTTAGGTTGCAGAAAAGTGGCCTGAAATTGTCTTTCGCCTTCAACTGTGTCGACAAAAGTTATTTAAATTAATAGTATTAATTAATTTCTTCGTTAGCTTTTTGACTTGAGTTTTAAGAAATTCACTTTCTTTTGATTTTGCTGTTGCATACTAACTGGTGAGTGTAACATATAAACTTCAAAACTATTAACAATGAATATATGGAATAAGCAACGAATATCTATTAGTTCAGATTGCTATAATAAGATATTTTACCGAATTTGATACCACCAAAATAATACTAGAACATTAACTTCAACTTTACTCTTAACAGTACAATAGAGTATTATATATTATATTATCCTGCGTTTGTATATAAACAAAAATGTCAATGAACTGCAATGATATTTCCTTACAACATGTTTTTTTGGTACTAAGCTATAAAAAAACAGAAGGAGAAGGGTTCCGTGATTCACAAAGTATTTTTTTTTTTTTTTTCAAGTAATACGCACACTAGAGTTTTTCTCTACTTTGTAT